GTTTAAGAACAAAATCTTTACTCAATATGTTGCCTTTTTTTTTATCTATTATTCTAACCAAACTACTATGTTATATTATACTATATTAGATAATTTTCAGACGCATTATTGCGGTAAAACGCATATTTTGCCCAAACCCTTGGCGTTCTCCTATACCTACTGATACTTTAATCCTGGCTGAATTCAACACTCATTCGTATACTTAATGTGTTTATACTTGTATTTATATGCTCTTGCACTACCAGTGAACTCAACTTAGGGGGTATTCATTTATTTTATTGTTTAACAAACACCACCCACAGTCTACAGAACAAACGAAGGGCAATATTCCAAAAATTGGCAAAAATTCTAATTGAATTTTTTTCATGCTTTTTACACACTGCTGTATAACTTAAGTTTGAAAAGTTTTTCCTCGACGGTAACTCTTGTATTAGGTACGAGAACTACGAATTTTGGAATATTTTGAAAATCATTACAAATGAAAAATATTCACAATTCCCCTGAAAATAGTAGGTATAATAAATTAGGCAATAGCTGTTATTAATAAATACAATTTTGGAATTTCGACACTATCTCGCGTCAGGGTCGTCTTAGGGTGTCTTAAGGGTAAATATGGTACGGTATGATTGTACGGAAAACAATTATTGCAATGAGGAAAAACAAGGCTGCGATATTTTTTGTTGTCGTTTTTATGAAAATGTATAAAGTTCATTTTCTCGCGGTCCGTGCGAATAAACAATAGTTATTCCTTCAGGACGCGCGCGTGTGCCGAACGATGTGGCGATAAAGACAAACGATGTCTCTGTTATCATTTTCCTCCCGGTTGTGCAGCACGACGACCCACACGATAACTATAATATGGTCATTCGGTTGGCGTTACACTCATTTTGCCGCCATAATACACATATTATATTGTGTAGGTACCCTACCGAAGACCACTACCGTTTCCGTGCGGGTTTCTCGGCCGGGAGATCACGCGTTCGTGCCGTCCAGAACTTGACCGAACAACAGACGAGAGGGGGGGGGGGTTATGTGCCTACTGTGTGAGTGTGTCCGTGTACGTTACCATATCCCGTATATAGATGATAATATAATAATAATAATAATAATGTGTCGGTCGAGTATCGGCTCAATGTATCTGCGGTAGTATACTAGCCGTGCGGTGGCGGCGGGCGGAGGAAAGCCAAGAAGAAGCACGAAAAGGAGAGATAGAGAAGTAAATTTATATACTATATAAAGAGATGGTAAAGTCTTCTGTTCGTGTTTCTGTCCACTATATATATATATATATATATATATATATATATACGACGACGGGCATACTGTAACAAGAGCAACGCACCGTGGCGGCTCGCTGGAAGAAAGGAAGAAAGAAAAAAATTATTTTTCTTCTGGATATAATAATATATATATATATATCAATCGCAGGAGCCCCGTGAGTAAATTAACTTGTAATTGCCGGCGGTTCATTAACATAAACACGGTCGTGCACCACACTTATCTACCGCTTATATCACTATATGCTCTGCATCCCATATACGCATATATAGAGTACATGTACACCCTATATAGGTTATTGTATTGGTCGGCACTGATTTACGTGACACGACCCGGGGACACGATGGGTAATTATTTAAATTATTTATCCGTGTTACGCCGGAAGGAATGTATTTTGTTGGAGATGGTGACCTTTATATGGTCTGCGTTTGATTTTATTTCGCATATATTATAGACATTTTTGCTACCGAAAGAATAGACTTACTAAAAACAGCCCAATCCTAATACCACAGCACCACAGTATTGATTATATCCGACCGTAAGATAACGTTATGTTCCGAACAGAAGAGTAGAGACCATTATTCTAGAGTAAGACCATTATTCATCACGGTTGATTTCATTTGACTCAAGTATTTGTCCAAATCCTGATCCCTTTAATATCCTTGATCCCCTCTCGGTTCCAACTATTACTGCTATAATTGATTTCCATCTGACCGCTGGTTGCACTATTTGATGACTCTTTTATGAGTCTGCCATTTTGTCTATTTTCGAAATCTTCGGGGGAAAGGGTGATTTCATCATAAGATTTGTATTTAGGTAAAAAAAAAAATCTATAACAAAGCGTTTAAAATGTATAACTGAAATTGTGTAAATAGTTTTACCGGCAAGTATAATAAGAATTAAATTATGCGAAATGCCCACAAAAATGCTTGTTGAACGCACTAGAAAAATTGTGCAAATTTCCTTTTTTTTAGTATTTATAAAAAATATTGAAAGTTTTAGAAAAATTCCAACAACAAGTGAAAATTGTTCAATTAACTTCACATCCCCGACGGACTTATACGTTTTTAAAAATGTATTTCGTTAGCTTACCAGTATTTTTGTTAGATTATTCAAAAATTGATAAACTTATACTATTAATTTGATAAATAAAATATTTTGGTTAAGCGTAAACTCTATAGAGACATTCTACTCTTATTACAAAATGTGGTTTATATTTTAATTAGTGTAACACGTGAACAAGAGGGTTATTATTTCGGATCTGTTGTAGTATAGTAACCGCGAGTGAAGTTTTTTTTATAAAAAAAAAAAAGGGGGGATTGAACTTGTTTGTATGTATGCAGGTGGCACGTGGACCTCTTTCTGTACAACACCTGTCTTCAACTTGACCCGACGATAATAATTGCCGGTATTCAAATGACCGTAACCCGAAGGGCTTTTATGCACAATAATTCAAAAACATTTTAACATGTTCATTACCAGTTTATTATGCATTGAAGGCAGGTACAAAATAAAAACCAAAATTTATCGCCTTATATTTTGTTTGTCGCTCGATTAACTCCGGTACGGTAAACCTAATCACGTTTACCCGGCAGCTGTACCTACCTACTTTGATCAGTGGTCGGTAGTAAACTTCTTACGTACACTTTGCCAATATTTTGTCTTATATCTGATACATTCGTCTTGGGTTGCGTTGACTAATGACAAAAGCTGTGTCTGGATTTATTTTTCTAGATTTTCCCTCTATCTTCCCCTTCTGCACGACCCACGTGGCTACCGGGCCCGCGCAAGTATCTGGTAGCAACAGCTATACAAATTATGTGGTTCGAACATTGGAGTAGAGGGAATGGGGGGAGGGAAGAAACCCGTTCTCCCCTCGGAATAATAATTATCGTAATTTAGTTACAGTACCGGCAATTGGACCTGTTCTTGTGTTTTTTCTCTCTTTCTTTACTCTCCTTCGTTCTTGTATTATATTATTTTTTTTATTTTTTAATGAAATGTTATTCCCAACCGTATGCGTACCTAGTGTACATAATATGCGCCTGTATATAAATTATGTAAAACCGAGTAAAAACATAACATCATATACGAATAAGCCTCGGGTTGTTGCGTTTCAAAGGTCAAGAACGGTCGGGCCGTTGTGCCACTGGTCGACGATTTAAATTTCTACACTAACGTGATAACAATAATAATAGTAAGTAGTACATACACATCATTCTGAATGGAACCAAAAAAAAAAACGGACGGACGGATCGGTTGATTGATTCGTCAGAATAATAACAACAGCTGTCTTAGGAAATATGGTCGGTTCGTACAATAACAATAAATAAGATAATACAAATAAGAGCTAATCACACTTTTGAGGTTTATGTTTTCTTTACAAAACTTTAACTTGGACGCCTGCAATGTTTTGCTTTTTCTACACAATACAAGGTTTGTTTTACATACTTAGTTGTCAGAGATGATTGCCAATTTTTTCTGCAAAACAAATAAATATTTTATAATATTATGATTGTAGTATAAAACACGTGTATTAAACAAACTTTTGAGGGGTATATATATATTTTTTTTAAAATTAATTTATATTACCGGTTAATATTATCCGAGGCAATTCTGTACTCATAGTCCAAGACGTTTAGAGTAATGTTTTTTTTTTAATGTATTCCTATCATATTAATTGTATTTTGCCAAAGCCTCAACACACACCGACGCGCAGTATTGCGAATTATTTCATTGTCCCCGTGAACGAAATTGTGTGTGATCGTGAGAACTTATTTTTATTTAAAAAAAAAAAAAATATATACATACATTTAAAAGCCATTTTATTCGCGGAATTTGTCATTGACTTTGAGACAATGCTGGTCTAAGGCGCAGACACAAAAACATAAAACAACCGTCATACATGCGTGTGAGACGCGACAATGCTCTTGCATAATATAATAATATTATACCGTGTACAAGTTATTCGGAGATTTCCGTTTGGATCTGCGGTCCATTAAAACGGTTTGTATTCTACACCGTGCTTGTTTATAGTCGATGGCTATAATAATAATAATAATAATACGGTAGACGGATGTATATTGAAATTTGAATTAAACGCACAAAGGGACCGGCGCGCGGCATATTATATGAACGGATTATATACATTATTATTATTATAAGTGTATTCACATGGGTACATAGCACATTGTAGCTTAAGTACCATTCAAGACGGATAAACGAAACGGCCATGGGGAGGAGGAAGGGGGGGGGGTGTTGAGGGGGTGGAAGGGAGAACGCAGAAATTTCTTCGCAATCGCAACCGGCTTATTATGGAAATCGTCAGTGACGTTTGAATTGAACAATGTGATGTCTAATTAAAATCATCTCGATCGACGCGCATCGCAAAACGACCGGGTGCAGGTATATAGGTACCTACCTATCCCGCAGGCCGAGTACATATTTTTATCCCGTTTTCTCCTCTCCACCCGCGCCCTTAATCGCTCCCCGCCCTCGTTTGTTCGATGGCGGCAAACGCAGACAAATTATCCACCGGCAGCCCGTAGTAGACTATATAATGCGCGTTTAGTACCTGCTGCAATAACGTCTCCGCTCCGGGTAACCGTTTGCATATTCTGGGTTTGGCCGATATGTATAAACGTCGTCTTACATCGGAAATTTTCTGAAACCATACTGTTTATTGTGTCTGATTTTGGATGTGTTTTGTTTTTTTTTTCCAGGGGACAAACCGCACGCATGCGAACTATGCCACAAGAAATTCGCGCTGGCCTGCAATCTCAGAGCGCACATGAAGACCCACGAGAGTAAGTACCGTCGAGTTATGTCTATATCGTGTTGTTAGAGTGTAGAAGAAAAATAATATGAAACAACAATAATAAACGTACCTACCTAACCGACAATTACAACGCTATAGCGTTGTATAATAACAATCATTGTTATTATTGTCATCTCACGTCCAAACAGGGTGAACGTGCTAGCGGGTATATACATATACTTATCTATTTTATACGTTATATTATATGCCTGTGTAGTATATTTATATACCACACGGTCACCTATATGTATTTTTAGGGTTTTTTTGTGGTCGGAGATCTACTTGAAATCACGTCCATGTCAATTCATTACGGCAATAACGACAGGGTGTACTCTCTTGTGTGTATGAAGGGCGTACCCGTTTGGTCGGTCTGAAACGGCGGGATAACGTGTAATTTTCTCCAGTCAAAAACGTATTACTCGGTGCCCCGCGCTATAGTAGATCCGATCCGCACTGATATTATATAATGTGTAATGAATAGCCAAAGTACGGGTCGTCTCTCTCTTTTAGCGAGACTAGTACTTAAGGTCGTCTTAATGTCACTTTAATGCGTGTATCGCCGCAGTAATGTAGGTATACAAACGCTTTATTGCCATCCCCCACAGAGAAATGATATATTATTTTAAAAAAAAAATGTATATATTACATGGAAAAACATACTGTAATGTTTTGTAACAACTGTCAAATTATTTTGGCAGGTATTCAAATACGAATAATACAAACGTTCGAATAATATTTCCCAAGCATTGTAGACAATGTAAATTAATTAATTTCAAAATCTAATGTTATTTAATTATTTTTAAATTACAATATTATTACCATATTATGGGTTACACAGTCGCTGGCTACACCGTCGGAGGAGAAAGGAAGGCAATTAATATGTAATCGGTTCCAGTTAAAAAAAAAATAGTGTGTTAGATTAAGAAGTTTGGTGCGACGAGAAGGTGAAAGAACGGTTAGTATAATAGGATTGAAGATGGAATATCTTGATAAGGCACGGCAAAGCGAGAAATCAAGTGTAATAATAATAATAATAATAATAATAATAAACGACACGGCCAGTGTAGAGAAAACGTTTTTGATGATAACGATTAGGTAGGTACATAAGGTGTTGTAGCGAATTCAAACGCACGAGTCCGTTAACCTATATAATAATATTATCAGCTGTGGGAAAGCCCACTTGGCGTACTTAACCCGGTATGTAGTTTTTCCAACATCAGCTGTACTTACAGTCGATAATAATATATTTACAAGTACAATCTAAGCGACGTCCGAATCGGAGTACTAGTTGTTTTTTTGCCCTTTTTTTCCGACAGTCTCGCTTTTTTTGCCAAAGAGCATATACACACACACACAAACAGTATAAAAATATATACCTGTATTTTTTTGGGGGTAATTTTCAGTTTTATCTCGGTGTGGTTAGAGTACACGGTGTTTAACGTTTATTGCCGGTATTGGCAAAATCCGTAAACCTTTTAAATAAAAAATAAAAATGAAATAACCGAAGCCTTGTCGAAAATTGTCCTCGCATTATTTGTGGCGCCCGCCGTAGATACAAAAGATAAAAAAATTACTCTACTACCCAAATTAATAGACATGATATTATGGCCTGTCCTGTATATTTTTGTCCCACGCGCTTACGCCCACCGAATTACCCTCTAGGGCGAACACGGCCCGACCAATACATGGTCCGGATAATAATAATTGGTGGTCTAACAATAATGAAAAGAAAAAAAAACACTTATTAACCCCCATTACGGTGTAATAGTACCTAGTAATAATAATAATACAGTTCAAGACGAAACACGCCAATAGTCGGTGTTGCGCAACAATACAATATTTAACCTGACACACGATTTCTATACACTTGTAGGCCTGGGAACTTTTTTTTAGGGTCCTATTTTGTTTTTTGGCGATAAAACAAAGAATTTTTTACCAATATTGGATTTTAAAAATGATCGTTTGGTAACATAGAACATATAAGTGTAAATATCAAACTAGTCACTCTATTCAATTTTGTACCACCAAAACCAATGCCATTATATTCGGCAAAAACGAGTTAAATCTCTAAACGTGTAAACAATACCCCTTGGTGTAAAAATAATATTTCTACGATAAATAATAACATGTAAAAAGTTGTAACGGGATTGGTAAAAAAATGTAACATTTAACTCTGATTTATACTACAGGGTAATTTTTTTTAACGCCGTACACTCTTAAAAAAATTGCAATTGTGTTTCTTTTTTAAGCTTCAGTTTAAACTTTAAATTAAAATTTTGCAAACAATCGTCATAACTCCAAACTTATAAATATTTTTTAAATTTAAAAAAAGATTCCGAAAGTTGACACTTATACCTTGACATTCGAACACGTTCATTTTTATTTATAGAAACGACGGTTTAAAGATACATATTATACAAATACATTTTAGTCATTGTAACTAATTAAAACGAAAAAAAAGAACTACAAATGTCAGCTTTTGAGTTGTCCTAGAAGGCTGAATTTTTTTTTTACTTTTCTTCTTTTTGACAAACAAAAAATACTATTCCGGGGGTAGCAAAAACAAGTGACTTTTCACTCTAATATTTATAGTGTAATAGGTATTGTTTTTAGATAGCACTAGCTAGGAACGTCTTATTGTAAATAGTGTTTGTCGGCTTTTCTTTAATAGGTATTGTTTTTCTATACCGAGTGTTTTTTTTTTCTGACAATTACCGTTTTCTTCGCAGGTGACACCCAAGAGGAGTGCGGTCGGTGCGGCAAGGTGTACATGTCTCCGGAGTCGGACAAGGGTCGAAACGCGTGCCCGGAATGCATGCCGCCATCGGCCAAGAAAGCGTCGTCGATAGGAGACGGTAGCGGCGGCGCTGACGACGGGTCTTACGGCAGCAACTCGCTGTTGGATTCGGAGGAGACCCGCAGCTCAATGGGTTCGGAACGAGGCATGTGAACCACAAGGCTAAATGCTATATGGACGGACCCGGTGGTGGCGGTGTTTGGCGTGGGTGGTTTGTCCGTTTAATTAAAACAAAAATGCATGTTTTTTTTCTTTAAATTGCTTTCCGTATCCTGACCACCGATTTTACTCTATACTCGTCCCAAAGATACGACTTATTATTATTATTGTGTATGTGTAAAAGCACTTAGGGTTTATCGATTTTAGTGATATTATATACATGTATATATAAAATGTTTGCTCATACTAACAGCGAGATCAAACGAAATAGTAAATTTTGTCGTACAATCCGTGTAGAGAATAAAAAAAAACTCCTTCCGAGTGTTATCTCATTGTAAAAAAAAAAAAAAAAAACCGACGAATAGTGTTTATACGTACCTATGATTATCTCAAGTTTTTTTTATATTTATTCTGCTATCGATCTGCGGATAAACACACACGGTAATAACGTTTTTATACGATCCACGTTATCGTTTAATCGTCGAAACTTGTATTTTTTTAATTATTAATTCTAGTCACTTATTTTTATTTTATTGCATTATTATCATTTTGTACGAAAATTTGAAAATCCCTCTTACTTATGTTGTGTACATATTTATAAATAATAATGTGTATATATATGGTTAAAGACGAATAATTAAGTGTGCGTTTTAGTATATATATATATTTCGACATAAATATGTTTCATAAAAAAAGTTCTGTGTTTTATTTAAGAAAATTATTTATTCGTGTATGTAAAAATGTTTTAATTTGTAATATTATATATACATAAGATAAAATGTTATAAATTATATTAGGGAATTAAATAAAATTTTGTAAAAAACAAAATGTGTTTTATTGTTTTTTTATAATATTTCTCATCCTTTCGAAACGTGCCAGTTTTTTCACTGTAATAAGTATATGAATTCGTATAGGCTATTCTGTAAACGGGTAAAGCTTGAGTGAATGGATTTTGTTTCATAATAATAATCGGCAATTTTTAATTTTGATAAAAAACTTTTCAGCTATACTACAGTGGGTTGAATATTGTTGTCATTATAGCTCGTAGTTCATAATTTCAGGTCAGGTAAATAGTGTGTATTTTTTTTAAATTGACCGGCAGTCGATTTTTAAGAGGTGTGTAAAATAAGTATAAACTATTTCAAATTACATAGTCAATAATAAGTACTTACTAAAACGATTAATTAAGATTTTTATTTTCTATTAAGAATTTTAAAACATAATTAAACACTATGCAAGTTTAGTTGTGTGTAAACGATGAACCGAATGCACACTGAACTTTAATTTTGTATCCGTTGAATAATGAATATTTAAAAGATTAACCCACTTAAATAGCAATTCAACACGACGAATGTGTTATTTTTATTGCTTGTTCCAATAGCAATTTTTAAAACCGTATAAATATTTAAGCAATCCAATAAGAAAAACAATAACTGTACCTATCTGGATTTTAGGTTAATAGCCCGAGAAAAATAAAATATTCCAGTCTTATATAAACAGTGTGGCCATAACTGCGAATAAATTAATATGTTGTAGAACATCTGTGTCATATATTTATTATAAAATTCAAAACGGTCATCGAGTTGATTTGTAATGTGTAATTGACTTTTTATACAGTTGCTTGTGTTTAAAAACCGATTATTTATTATTTAGATATAGAATACCATTGACGTTTGACACTTAAAACACAGCGGGTCGTAGAGAAATCACACAGTTCCGGAACCGTTTTTAAACAACGCAATAATTATTATTATAATATAATAATAATAATAATATTATTATTATTATTATTATAAAGTTGTTTAATACGTTTAGAGATTTTTGAAATCGCAAAATATTTTATGTGATCACATATCATCGACGGCTCAACATAAAGAGTCTGTTTTTTTTGCTCAAAAACATGTCTTACGCGAAAAAAACGACAAAGCCTTGGAGAGTAATAGAATCTTTTTATAATTTTTTTGTACGGTTTTAGCCTTACAAAGACCTTACAAGGTATGCTTGCTTGACACTACAAAATAACACTGTCGTTTGAGTCCTTTTTAGTTTTTTTGCCCTGTTACAGTCGTTTTAAAGGCTTTTTTGAACCCATTCAATATTTTCTATTCGGTTAGTCTGAATTTACAAAATATATATTAGAAATCTAATGTCAATGTCTATGTCTTATGACAATCCATATAACATACAGTGTGGACAGTCTGCCGAATAAAGTAGTTGATCTCACACATCGTTGTAGTGTTTCCTAAAAAAAAAAACGTTTTAAATAATGGTAAAAAATAAACTCTTCTCGAATGAAAGTATAATATTGTCGGGTGACAAATGCGTTTTTTTCGCTAGCCAACGAGCCAATGGGTATTCCATGTACGTCATAGCCGGCCGGTACCTGTATACATAACGAGTTCAATGGATTTTCATTGAATGTTTACCTACAATTATTATTCTGCAGACCCGTTCGAGCGAACCAATAACAATAATAATTACCTACGACACTATAAAAGAACGTAAAGATATTTACGTTTGAATGCGATTACTTCCATTTTGATGGTACAAGTATAAACAATAAAGATAATGAAGAAAAAAATGGTTAAATGGAATGGCCGATAGAATAAGATAACGCGTATAGTGCACATAGATAATGTGCTGCGAGATGGGTCCGGTTTTGTTTTTTACGACCCGTTCCATATTATATTATATATTGGTAGGTATTATTATTTAGCCGTGGCGCTATTAATCGGGATTATCATTTTTTTAACGCTCCCATTCCATATGAGCCTTTTGCAGAGAATATAAACGTCGAACGGGTTTTTTGCGCCGCCGATTATATTATTATTATTATTGTGTGTATCGCCCAATAATAATAAAAGAACGGCAGTAATAAAATAAGAAATTAAATTCTCCAATCTTTACCGGCGGTGGAACGGTGACGGTAACAGCACAGCGCACCTCTATAGCAAGCAAAGGGTATATAAAATAATTATAATATGCAAATGAGCGGCAAACAACAGTCTACCAATAATGGACGGACGCCAATGAAGTCGACCAACAGTTGCAGTGTACTCCGAGAACAGATATACAAAGTATATTATTACTATTATTGTACACAATAATACTGCGTACTGTCACTGATAAGTATATGCACTATAGAAAAGAGTTATTATAGCAGTGTTGTATCGCACACACAGCAGACCGAGCAGTAGCAGAACAGTAGGTAACTGGTTTAAGTCAATTCGGTAAACCACGGCTGAGAAAATGCGCACTATATCTTAATGTATACATCTAATAATATATTCACTGTGGCCGTTTAGCCATATCCCTCTCAGGACAATCCTGTTTATCTTCTGAGGAGTCCAAGCTGGGAAACATAATATATGAATGAAGACGAGCACCTATTCAGCACCTATTTACTATCAAGCTGTATCCGAAGGGATGTAAAAATAAAGAAATCATTGAAGCTTAGGACCTCACGGGGACTACTAAATAGGAGATATGAATTAGAAATGTGTGTTTAAACTTTTTAGATACTAAATTTTAAAGGGTGCAATTGGAGGGGTCACATGAAAAAGTATGAAAAAGCTTGAAAGGTTAAAGAAACTTAAACATTTTTTTTTTGTTATTAAAAGACCCGTCTCCGTTGGTTACTGATGACAGTGTTAGTAACTTGACAACTGTCGGATTGAGTTTAGATTTATCAGTGAAGATCAGTGCACTAGGCTATAAAAATAACCCATACGAATGATTAGAAGTAGGAAACGGTAGAGGTTTTCTAATGATAACACAGTGTTCACTAGTGAACAAACTCTGCACAGAGTCTGTAGAAGGAAAATATCGACTTACAACACTTTAGAACAATTTGACTATACAGTATGTGTAACCGGTGACAACCGGTAAATCTCAAATCGGTCACACGAATAACAAGTGAATCTGGCTAGTTATATATTCTTCCCGGAAGGAATAAAAAATCAATGCATAATATGCACTGTAGCCGTATAGATTAATTTTGTTCGGAATCTTGAGTACTTACCGCTCTATTCTTCGAAGTAATAAAATTCAAATAATAAGTAAAATCCATAATAAACAAACATTAACTATGCGTTTAGGGTATTTCTTTGGAAGCAATAAAATTATAAAAGATAACACCAGCTTAAGGTCGTTGTATACCTTTAGGCAGAGGTGTGCAGATGTGTCAACGATCCCAAGTAGCAATGGTACAAAAAAAAAAATGTATCTAAGTATCAGTTGGTTACAACTAGAATTTCCTCGCTTGTTTAATCAACTTTTTAATAAGATTTCTGATGCAAGTTAGTAAACTTTAATGTAATTTTATCGTTACAATAACGAGGGTTCTTCGTGGGTGATTATTTTATTTATTAAACTATTTTAATGCCCTATTCAAACGTTTCTCACTATTTTCCCCTTTGACTATTGGTCGCAGCTATTAACAGCTGTCCTATTTTGTCTATAGTGGTAATAGAGGCTTAACATTTTGTTGACACTTAAGCAACAATATATTATACGACGTAAATCGTCGTTTTTGTTTTAAGACTGTAATTAAATGAGTTTTTACTAAAGTAATTAAAAACAAAAATAAATGTGAGTTTTATACAACTAATAAAAAGGAAACTATTAAAAATATCAACAAACATACGGTGCATAATATTGTTTCTTACAAGTTTGATCAATTTTAAAACTTTAAGCCAACTACTAATAAAATAGGACATAAAGATGTCACCTTGAATACATTTTTAAATTGAACACTACCTTATTTAAATGTTTATTGTATTTATCACGAAAAATGTATGAAAAGATTACATTTATATGTTTGTAGTTGGAGATGAGTGTGTTTGGGCAAAACAATAAGCGAGGTGTTAAGTTTGAACCACATTTTTGGACTAAAGGCAATCCTTAACTATGTCCATCTTCAAATAATCAGCTATAGTAAACGGGTTGTCTAATTATAGTTTTGAACGGTAAGATTAATGTTTCTAACGATTTATTGTTTTGATTTAACTCATGAAAATTAAATCTATCTAGCATTGAATAGAAAAAAAAGCATTGACAGCCTACGTCATAAATACCAGTCGGATTTTTTTGGTCACCTTTTCATCACAAGGCCACCCACTACACTAAATGGCTACTAGTAGTTGATCGCTATTATTGTCAAAAAAAAAAAGAAATGGAAATTAATGTAATTAATAAAACTCGTATGATTTCTTGTTGAACCAATTATGATTTTATCATTTCTGCAATTTTGCGTTTAATTAAAATTCCACTTGAGGCTGACTAGACTAGAATATAACTTAAATTTCTATTATGGGCCGCTCTTCGTTTAAAACACATCCCTATAATCCCATTGTTCCCTGCTTAGTCGTTTAACATATAGTGCTTGTATAAATAATGATATTTCCATAGGAAACTGTTCTTAAAATGAAGTTTTTGTGACCAAAATAATACCCACCCGACCTAACCTGCCTTTGAGTCAGCTCTGATAAATTTCCGTTGTAGAACATACCTATTTATTGCCGTTTATTTTGTAATCAATTTATCATTCCACCGGCATAAGTAAAACCCACAGAAACAAAACATAGTACACCAAGAGTTTAGGATGATATACATTTTCATTATAATATACGCATTACATTTTGTGTAACAAAATATTATTGTGGTTTATGCTGACACCTTTCATGAGGCGAATCAACACAATAAATTGTTAGGAACATTAAT